CACGGCCCTCACCTCAGCACCCCTGTCCACGCGCCACCACGAGAGCCAATCCACGAGGCGCATCTCGCCAATCTTCATTTTGTCATTCTTCCCAGTACTACTCTACTCGTTCGCTCGTCTGTACTAGCCTTCTCTCGGCCTTCTCTCACCGTTGGCAAGGCATTGGTTGCTTGGCCCGCCCCCAGATCGCTACCTATTCGCTCTAGCTAAAGCATCCTCGGCGCGCGCTGTGCGCTGGCTCTCTCTGCCTCGGCGGTGTGAGAAAAAAGCATGCCGAGCATGCTAATGTTTTCTCTGCCCAAAGCTTGACAATGTCACACGATCTGCTCGAAAATACGTGGACGAAGAATGTTGTCATACGTTGCAAACTCGGCGGGACTACCTCGTGCCCAACATGTTCGTCATTTTACTTCGTAGGGAATGTCTCGACTGTGCTGGACAGTGGACATGGTCTTGGACCCTCGAGTCTGGCACACGGGGCATCGTCCCCAGGTGCTCGCGCCTCCAGCTGCGACTTGTCCCTAAGCAGGGCATCTCAAATGGTAGTATCATACCCGCTCAGCGGAAATTGCATACCACCAGAGACTATACTGGACTGCTCTTTTAGGACAAGTGCTCCTTTTAACCAGCGCCATTAAGGGTATATTCACTATAACTTCATCATGACAATCTCAATCGCTGCGAGGGGTAGGCATGCGATTGTTCATCTGTGGTCCTCTGAGGGAATGCCTCTCACGCGCGAAAATTCCACGAGGTCGACAGGGGTCTGACTCTCAGATCACTGTCCGGCGCAGCACTCTCGGCACTCTACCGTAGCGGATGCACATCGTCATCAGACGAAGATCAACATGGTCAGTTTACTGTACCTCGCAATTGATGATATTCGGTCAGCGGTGACTTCATCGTATCTACCCTCTGCCGAAAGGGGTTCGACGAGGTTGCATTGGATGGTGCCCAGAACAAGAGGCAAAATTATACAATTTCAATCTCATTTGGGCGCCTATATGGCTGGCTCAGTAATTGGCCGACGGCATGCTCCAAGGGCAAACACGTTCCTGGGTGCCAGCCGAGCCAGCCAAGGAGCGACGCTGTCGCTGTTCGTCGCTTCGTTCCTGACTAGACTCTATTGGGTTCGCCACTCATGCTTCTCCTTCCCCTGTACAACAAGATGCATCGAACGCTTTTTCAGTCGAGCTGTCACTTTCTATGGGGACCTGGAGCGTCGTCCAATTTAGCGTGCGCGGTTTACAACTTCAAAGTTCACGCCTATCTCTCTCAGGTCGGTCTCTATTTCATTTTGGTAAGCGGCGGCATCTATGCAGTCGCTCTCGATATATTGCGGAGAAGCCCTGTCTAGGAGTGGAATCCTATTTAAGGATTTGATTATCGTTCGCTGTCCGGCTTCACGCCAAATTGGTTCTGTCCCGCCGCTAGAGGGAAACGCAATCTACGAGTATAAACGAGACAGATATGTAGGGTCAAGGAATTCTTTTGACAGCATAGCGCAGATTCCTACTCCCTCGAATGCTATCCTTTTCATGGGTCCACCGGCCAGTTCACGATGCAACACGAGTATACATCGCAAACACGCTGCTAAGTGTCAGATAAAAAGGGCTGTCACCTAGTGGTCACAATTTTCACGGCTGGTTCGTACCAATGGCCTCGTAAAAATCCCGTCAGACGTCCTAGAATGGTTCTTCGTCCTACCAAGCACCAGGCATGTGTGCGACGACGACCTCGCCTCCTTGGTAGTGCGCCCAAAAGTCCATGGATGGCCACGTTCTGGACAGGCACACGAAATGCTCCTAGCCTTCTTTGTCGGGTAGCGACAGGCTGAATATGTTGACAAAAGAGTGTGCATACGAGAAAACCGTTGTTGAGCGTTTACGTATTCCCTTGCTGTTTCACCTTAGCGAAGAGCGATGCACTATCGTCAGGTGAGTTGTCGCAGGGACTACTTAGTAGCCACTAACCATTGTTCCGCACACTCGATCCAAATGACCTCACGCGATTGATGGATTTTCCTCATTTGCAGCGTTGACATCGTTCGGGGCTCGTCTGACAAGTGATCTGTCCCAGGCATCTGGATGCTGTGTCGCAGAATCTGCAAGGACGCTTGCTCTCCCCTTGCCTCTATGTGAGACATCTGCGGTTTCTCCCTGATCAAGCGCAATTTCATCCGACTACCAACACGACTTCCCTTGTGCTACTTGACGCTTTCCTTGCGCATCCCATCCTCCCATCCGAACTCATTCCTCAATTCCTATGAATAGTGACCATCTCTCAGAACAACGCTAGAAACCCCACAAGTCTTCCCACTGGTTGATCCTGATGATCCTCCTCGGCCAAGTCCACGCGCAACCTGCCGATCCTGGCCGTTGAGGCCAAACAACGCAGCGCTGTAGATCTTCTGGTACCTGCAGATCTAGCCGCGTCGAGCCGCGTTTGCTTCAACGTCAACCGACGTTTCGTCAGGTCATTCCCAGACCCGACAATGTTGAACATGCATTCCGTGACACGCATAGAATTAGGATTGAATAGAACCAATGTCTACGCCACCGTGTAGGAGATATCCCTTCAAGTGCTGGTTCAGCTCCTGTTGCCTTATCAGGAAAATGGGCAAGATAGACGGATTGTCTGATTGAACGAGCCTTATCGATATGCCTAATAAGGCAACAGGAGCTGAACCAGCACTTGAAGGGATAGTATTGCTCTACGTGTAGTAAGCTGCCTTGCGCAGGGAACATGTTTGTACAGGTTTGTGTCATATCATGCTGTGAGCTGATTGATGGATTATCAAGGCTTAACCTGCACCTAGTCGAGTTTCCTGATTAACTATGAGAGTTGAAGACTAGGATGTCATGGTCATGTGACCGTTAGCAAGCCTCAGCGGGACCTACGAGGAGGATTATCGACGCAGTCTAGACCTGCGAATGTATTGCTCGTCTTATACAGACACTGTTAGAGCTGAAAATGTTCGGCCAAGATCTGATATCATGACAAGATGTTCGGGCAAAGCAACATGCCTAAGTTCGGACCGGCATACTGAGGAACGATGTTCTCAATACTATACGTGTATAGTTAATAATCTTGACACCTCAATATAGTTCCTCTTTGAGAGTGACTGCGAACTTATACTAGGAGAAGGGCTTCCAGGTACTTACAGACCGTAACACACTCAAGACCATGATCTACAATTGCGTGCTCAAACATGTCTTCAAGGCGACGCATGAAACATGGTGATGATCGTGAGAGGGTGTAGCCGACCGGCTATCATCTTCAATTGTATATGTATTACCTTCATAAAGTATCCAGCTCTTTCGCAGAGAACGGGAACTCTTTTTTGGCATGCCGACTTCGTTCTTCTTGTTTCGTGTCCTATTCAACCCAAACCTTTAAGCTCAAAGTACCACCCTTTCGGTCACTGACGATGACCACATCCCTCATGCGCTTGTACTCAGCGCTCTGAATATGTGAAAGCTTGATCCCAAAGGAACATGAGATATCTATACACTGGATACGGAACAGGAAGATGTCCTCGCCAGAACACCCAGCGAGCAACCGTATGAGCCTAGTATGTGTTTCAAAAACTGACGGATCTTGCTCAGACAATTTTATTGCTTTGTAAAATGGAGAGGTTGCGTTATAATTTGACCTTTCGTAGCGAAGATACCAGTCATAAATCCAGTAGGTAGGAGCCGGTTCGCATTCACCTCCTTACTAGCAGCCAACTTGCCTCACGACATACATGGCCGCCGTGACCTTCGTTACTATGAAAATGAGGAAAAGCAAAACAATCATGCAGGATTGTAAGTGTTAAGCAAAAAAGGAGGCTACCACCCGCCTCACCCCTCTCCCGGGGCTGAACTCCGGTCCCCCTACACCACTCGGCCATCTTGAGTGCTGCTGCCTGCCTGACGCAAGTTCGTCATCGCCTTGCTCGTCTTTTTTTTTTCCTTTCTTGGTTTACCCACCCTCATATGAAGGAGGGTGACGATAACAACGCTTATGGCATCTGGCGCCTTTCATTCAAACATCCATCCCATCAACATTCGCTTTGGGATTCCGGATCTCACAGTACTATCACCAGTTCCATGATCTTGCCCGCCTTGCATTGTTACTTTCACTTTCATACAGACCGGCCATGCCACCGTACGCACCAGTTTACCTTATCACTCAGCGCAAGCTCCCACTCTCTGTTGCTTCCGTTTACTCCTTGAGCCAAAGATCTCTTTCTGCTTCTTCCCTTCTCCTTCACCAATTACATAGTAGAGCAAAACTGCTATATGCAAAGAAAATGTAACTCTTAGTCTCACGTGCACATCGGGTCTTTAGTGTCTACCCTCATCAACCTACAATGCCCCATCCTCCTACTCGGTCCTCACTACAGCCATAAACATACACACACATAAGCGCATACATCTCATGCGAATAATGAAACAGACAGGCTCATCTGTATGGAAATCCATTGAATAAAACCCGGGTCCCCGTACTTTCCTTACATCGCGAAGTTCTCGGCATCTCACAGACTTTCTACTTGAGGTCTGTGCTCGAGGAAGTGGTATATGTGATAATCTTCAGATCTCAACTATTGCACATTGCAATCCAGTTCTTCCGACTATTCGATTTCTTCCCCTTTTGCCAAAAGAAAAAAACAGCTAATCGTCTTCGTCAGTCACGCCCATGTCCACAGACGAATTCACGCGTAGCTTCCACCCTCAACGCACACGAATGAAACAAGAAGAAAAAGCATTGTTATCACAAACCCCCCATAACCCAAACATCCAAACTAAAAGCCGCCCAAGTCAACTATCCAAATGCCCTGACTACACATGCAACATATCGACACGTACCTACTAGGTAGTGCAGACCGAGATCGCTCACCCCCATGCCAATCCAACCACTCCCCACACCAACAACAACAACAAGCTCCACGGATGATCCGCGACGCTTCTCCTTCATAAGCAGACATACACCACCCTCTCCCAACAAGCAGCAAAGGTCGGTTAGCTCAGTCGGCAGAGCATCGCAATCACATTCGTCCTGGCGAACATGATATACCTGCGAAGGCCATAGGTTCAAGTCCTATACTGACCATCTTTTTGGCGTGTCCCCTGAATGCGAATTTAGCAACGCGTTATGGTATCATGGAAGATCTCACACCAGATGGTACATGTTGCATAACTAGTGTATCGCGCTGGAATTGAATTCAAATGTTACTACGGCTCGTATATACATCTCTGAGATGCATCTCTACGAGTCGACCACTCATTGGGAAAGGGATCGTGGCACAGCACTACAGCTTTAATATCTTCGTGTAAACACTGTAAGGTCCAAGAATATCAACAGAGGAGGTAGTGTCATAGCTGTATTTGCGTTCAATCCAACGCCGAAGCGATAGTGGCCTTGGTCGAGACAGAGCACCTAACCAACGTGCCTGTGTTGCCCCAAGCTCAACACAGGATACGACAACACTAGACACTTGTATGAGATTGCAAACCGATTATAACCACAATCCGAATCACATAGTGCCCATAAGCATTCCACGGCACACAAACAAATCACCAACAACACCAGAATATGCACGTACTTCTCAGCCATACTCATTCAAACTCTATATACACCCCTTCCCCTATCAAGTCTCATACCAGACGCCATGGTAAGGCAAATCTCAGCTCTTTGCCCAGTTAAAGGAGCAAAGCCACGCCAGGTGGTTGAACAAACACCGGTGTCCAACAATGTTGAAAAAATACATTCCATCTACGCACCATCCACTGGTCTTATAGCCTCTCTAACAATGGGGCCCCTGTTCTAGTGCGCAATGAATCCATCGCAGATGCACGAAGCAATAAAAACAAACGCCTGGTCTGCCATGATGTTGAAAAACCCTGGGATATCGGTATCGTTGAGATCTCTAACTTTAACTTTGTTAACGCATACGCCGTTTCATAACAATTCTCGGAATGAGAAGACGGCCTTATTGATTATGCCGTAATTAACCCTGGGTCGTATCTTCGACCGGTGGGCATGTACAGAAGAGGTTCAGGTCACCGTATGCTGATCAACAATTAGTTCAAGTGAACGATGGTTAATCCAGGTCAGGGATAGAGGACTTACTATCATCAATTCTCCCAACACTGGGCCAGAACTTCTTCTCTTTAAGGTAGGGCAACGGGTACGCAGCCTTCTCTCGCGAGTAGACACGATCCCACTTGCCTTCACCGTCACCGTAGATGATATCGTTCATGGGGTGAGGCGCCATCTTCAGCACGTTGGCTGCCCTTGGTACCTTACCCTCCTCAACCTCACGGATCTCCTCACGGATGCTGATGAGTGCATCAACGAAGCGGTCCAGCTCTTCCTTGCTCTCACTCTCTGTCGGCTCAATCATCAATGTGTTGGCGACAGGCCAGCTCATAGTCGGGGCGTGGAAGCCATAATCCTGCAGACGTTTGGCAATATCAATGGCCTCAACCCCAGCAGTTTTGCTGAATCCTCGTACGTCAAGAATGAATTCATGGGCGCATCGATCGTTCTCGTTGACATACAGGATAGGATAGTGAGGCTTGAGGCGCGACATAATGTAGTTCGCATTCAGCAGACCGATTTTAGTGGCCAGCGTGAGACCCTCACCGCCCATCAACACGTTATAGGCCCAACTAATGAGGTTAATACTGGCACTGCCGAAAGCGGCACTGCTGACGGGAGCGCTGCCGGTCTTCTGGATGATACCGTCGTTGCCCGCCCTGATTCTCTTCGAGTGGTCTCCAGGTAGGTATGGTGCAAGATGACTCTTGACACAAATCGGGCCAACACCTGGACCACCTCCGCCATGGGGAATACAGAAAGTTTTATGCAGATTCAGGTGGCAAACGTCAGCACCAATTGCACCAGGTGAGCACAATCCGATCTGTGCGTTCATGTTGGCCCCATCCATGTACACCTGACCGCCATAATAATGCACAATTTCACAGACCTCCTTCACTGCAGGCTCGAAGACGCCAAACGTGCTGGGGTAGGTGATCATGATAGCCGCCAGCTGATCTTGATGTTTCTTGCACTTGTCTTCAAGATCTGCCAGATCCAAATTTCCAGTCTTTGTGTCACATTTGATGGGCACAACTCGCATACCTGCCATTGCGGCGGATGCAGGGTTTGTACCATGGGCAGATACTGGGATGAGACATATATCGCGATTCTTTCCGTTGTGTTCAGTTGATGCGTGATAGTCCCTGATTGCACGCAGCCCAGCAAACTCGCCTTGGGCTCCCGAGTTTGGTTGGAGGGAAGTTGCCTGCATTCCAGTAATGTGTGACAGTTGTTGCTTGAAGGAGTCCAAAAGTTCCAAGTAGCCTTTAGTTAAACGGTCGGGTACCATCGGGTGAACATTGGCAAAGGAATTGTCAGTGATTAGACCCATTTCGGTTGTTCCATTGAGTTTCATGGTGCAGGAGCCGAGAGGAATCATGGAATGGACCAAAGAAAGATCTTTGGATTGAAGATGATAGATGTATCGCAAAAGCTCGGTCTCGGAATGATGCGTGTTGAAAACGGGATGAGTCAAAAATGGTGTTGTTCGTCGGAGGTTCTCGGGGATCGAGAGAGGTTGTTCTGCTTGTTCGGTAAGAAGAGCCCTCAGATATTGCCTCATCTCTGCACTGCGTACGGCCTCTTCCTCCTGATCCAACAGCTCAAGCGTGTATGGCCCATTGCGGGTACGGAAGACAGCATATATGATCCGACACAATACGCCGAACTTGACTGTTTCGTCGATCGTAATACCAACACGTGTTTGTCCAATTGGGCGGTACAGCATTCCCACAATTTCAGACAGTGTGATGAAGAACTGCTGCTTCTCCCAGTCTCCGAAATCCACGATAAGCGTGTCGAATGCCACAGGCCCTCCGCGGCTGCTTGCGTTCCGCTCAACAGCAAAGCCATGGGCCTCGATAGCGGTTTGAAGCGCTCTGGCTCCGCGCATTACTCTTTCCGCGATCAATTTGAGGCCCTTCGGACCATGATAGATGGCATAAAAAGCACTCATATTAGCTAGCAGCGCTTGAGAAGTACAAACATTACTCGTCGCTTTTTCTCGTCGAATATGCTGTTCTCGGGTTTGCAGGGCAAGTCGGTATGCATTGCGGCCGAGCCGGTCTTTGGAGAGACCGACCAAGCGGCCCGGTATTTTGCGCTTGTGTTTCTCAGTCACGGAAAAGAAAGCACCGTGAGGTCCACCAAATCCAAGAGGAATACCGAAGCGTTGGGCACTGCCAAATGCAATGTCAGCGCCCCATTCTCCGGGTGGTTTGAGCATGGTACAGGCCAGCAAATCGGTGGCAGCACTGAGAAGCGCGCCTTGTTTATGAGTCAGCTCAGCTAGGGCAGAATGGTCATCGATAAAGCCGTAGGTGTCCGGATACTGGACCATGACACCCACAAGATCATCACCCAAAGCCTCTATACGCTCAAAAGACTCCTGGGAGGTGAGGTCCAGTCTGAGGAGATGGATGCCAAAACCTTCGGCACGTCCCTGCATGACGGAAATGGTCTGAGGATGCATCGTCTCAGAAACAACATAGGTCTTGCCCGGCCGCTTCGCCCTTTCGGTCGATAGGGCATTCATGGAGAGGGTCATGGCTTCGGCAGCGGCAGTTCCCTCGTCGAGTAAACTGGCATTCGCAATGGGAAGCCCCGTAAGATCCGAAACCATAGTTTGGAAGTTCACCAATGATTCCAGACGACCTTGGCTGATCTCAGGCTGGTATGGAGTGTAGCTTGTGTACCAAGCCGGGCTTTCCAACACGTTGCGCTTGATAACATCGGGCGTGTGGGTGGGATAGTATCCTTGACCAATGAAGTAAAACTTGTGGATAATATCTCTGCGGTAACCATTGACATAGGACTGGAGACCGGACTCGGACTTGGTCTGTGAATAACCACGAATTTCTAATTCTCGGGTGTCTCTAATATTAGGCGGCACAACTGAAGAGACAAAGTCTTCGAGACTTTCCGCAGGAGGGGATAGAGCCGCGAGCATAGCGTCTGTGTCTGTCTTGTCCGGGCCTATGTGGCGGCGAGGGAATGTGTCTAAGGGGAAATATTCAGACCAGGCGCGAACAGAGCCCTGATACATGTTACAGTCCTCGGCAGACTGTGGTATGGGCGTATTCCGGGCTTTTGCAACTGTCGCCGCGGTTCTGTGTGTAGTGAGAGCCGTGCAGCTACGACATACCCAGTTGCTGGATCGAACGAGGCGAGCATTGAGGGCGAATGGGCCTCGCGATCGAGCCGATAGCTGGCCTAGGCGGCGAGGAACCGCACGAGAAGCGGAAGACATCTTGGATGTGAGTCGGAGGGCTAGAAGGTCGTGTCGAGTGGACAGGACACCGTCGACACCGTCGAGCAATGCAATTGCAGAGCCTACCCGTTGGAAGAACGGGTGTTCTTAGTGACAGAGACGAAGTTGAGTCCGTTTCACGAAGCAAACATGCTGGGATCGCAATCAACGTCAACAAGAGCAGAATCTCAGAGGTGAAGGTGGGTGGAACTTGAGGATAGAGGTGTGTTTGCCTCGACAGCGTCACCGACTATCGGAATTTGTGGTAGCTCAGACGACTACTTCGTATCTGGGTCGACGGAATGCTTTCGCGGGGATCAAAGAGTGAGGCAAAGGTATGCAGATAAAATCACCATGTCGGCCGCCATCGGCTGCGGTTTAAGCCGTCGAAGCCAGGGCTAGGTAGATAAGTGGCGTGAGCAAGAGATACTCAAGTAGTACCTCTGGGGCGATCGGAATATCCGCCTAAGCTCCGGTCAGGCGGATGTCACCGTCTTTTGTCTTTGGCCTTGAGTGGCCCGTTCGGCTATCTACGTCCTTGGCTTCTTCCTGGGGGCAGGCAAATGCAGGGACCGGGCGCTATGTTGGCCCAACTGCTGATAAGGTAAACCGATGCAATGGATAGACCGCTATCTCGCCCAGGTCCTACTGCATGCATATAGTAAGCTTCCATTCCTCGGCTCAAGGACGGTGATTACCCACCGGAAACCGTGTTCGATGAGGTGCACCTTTCAAGTCATGCGAGGATAGGTTACTCGGC